GGCTACAAGAAAATCTGTCACCAAAGTACACCAACATCCGGCTATAGCTAAGTGTACATGATAGCGATGTAAACACATGAATGTTAAAAAAAACAGAAAAAAATTAATCCATAAATACTTTGATCTTGATGATATCAATATGTCTGTTTGTATGTAATTAAATACAACAAAAGTAAAATATGTGATTAAGTGCAGAAGTAAGATTACCAGCAAACCTGAAGACAGTGAATTGTGAAATGTTGTTGTTTGTTGTAGAAATTTAATCAAAATAAAAGCTTAAATAACCAATAATCTTAAAGAATGCTAAAAAATGCCAAAGAAGATTTGTCATGTAGTAAAGATAAGCATCTTAACATTTTAAAAACTAGCATTCCATAGCTCTTCATACTGTTTACCACCCAATTACCAAAAACAGAAATATGTAAGTCTGTAATTTTTTTTAACCATTTCATAATAAAAGGAGAAATGAAATATTGTATATCTAATATCATGGGTATAGTTCTAACCAGCAGCATTGGCTATGGTATTGTTACAACAGTGGAAGTCATGCAACACTGGGAGCATGCGTGCTGGAGTTTCTAGATGCCCTCTATTTTAGTATATAAGCCGGAGATAGATTGAAGAGAGATAATTGAGTCAAGCGAGCAGTAGGCACAGTAAGTAAAGTGTGTGAATTGCTGTGAATTATAGCGTGTGTTTATAAAAATAGTTAAGTTAAAGTGATTGTGGAAATTTTGTGTATTGCAAAGTTGTATCGAGAAAGAATAAACTAGTTTTAATTAAGAAAGGACTTGTATTGCTGAAGTTTCTTGGAAAGAATTTCTATGGGAAATTAACAAACAAGTAGATATGTAACAATATCAAAGATGAGTGAAAAATTAAAGATATAATATATTGTGTGGAGTTACGTATCTACTGTCTTTTGGAAACCAATGATAAAAAATCTGTTCTTCGGTTCCTTGTAATATCTTTTCATCCAGGTATCTAATTAAAGTATTGATTAAAATCTTTTGATTTGTTGTATATTTCCCCTTTACTCACTTTGCAGAGTAGTTAAGTATCTTTGCCACTTCTCCATGCTCATGAATTTATGATGATGTACTTAAAACTCTTTTGGAGGTAATGAATGAATATTTGTTTGCATAAACCTTTGGCACATAAACCTTTGATAATAATTTGGCACACATGATCATATTTAATGATAGTAATTTGCTTGAATTCATAAACATGGTACACTTGCTGAATGCTTTCATTTGGTTTTCCAAAGAAAAAATTTGTTTAGAATTCAGAAACACACTGTATAAATTCAAGGATGGATCAACATTTTAAATATTCTAACAGTTAAAAAATCCAAAGCATGTCCTTGAAAAATACAACAAAGAGTTTTTCATCTATTTATAGATACACAATAATAATAGTTACTTGATTTTGAACAATGGTACTTGCTATTTAAGAAAAAAAAACATTTATTACAAATATTGTGATTTTATGAATAGAAAACTGTACTTCTATAAATATAAAAACTGGTTTTAGTTTCATTTTCTCTACTGAGTTGAAACATGAAATTACGTTGATGTCCTCCACTTTTATTTCATTTTCTTGGACAAAATTATTTTATGAGAATTAAAAATATTATAGAAAATTGCAGCTTTGTTGTCTGGGCGGTTTTTAGTAGGGCAGGTGATATTTTTTTTGGTCAAAGTATTGTTTCACGAAAAGCTTGAAAAGTTTCAAAAGAATTAAACTATTGATCTTAGTGAGAATCACCTATAACTATCTCCTAGTCTTGGTGAGGATTACTTTACAAGTGCAAAAAGCTCTTGGTCTTAGTGAGGATTACCTACAATCAGGAGCAGACTGACTATATGGGCAGATATGATGTGGATTGAGGGCCTGTGGGTGTAGGGGCCCGTAAACCAGTCTAAGGAACAAATTTAAAAAATACGTATTTTTATTATATCAAATAAAAAGATTAAATGGAAATTGACAGTTAGTTATAAAAAATTGTATGGTTGGCATGGTAGTCTGGTGCATCAATTAACCCTTTAAACACTGTAGTGCACTATATAATGCATTTACAGTCATTGTATTTACAAAATACTAGTTTAAATTTCTTCTTACATTTATATAATTAAAATCAACCCAATAATATTCTTAAAGATTACCAAATTTTCTTTTATTTAGATTATAAAATACTTTTTTTATTTAATTAAGATATAATATTAGATTATTGTTCTCTGTTCTAAAAGTATAAGTTTCTAATTGTAACTGTTATTGTGCATTTGATATTTATAATTTTATTTTATTATTTTCAAGATGTTCATGATGTTTTTACTGGTCTTTTTAATCATGAGTAATTCTTTCTGATGTAATATTAGTAAGATATGAAAATATCTTTTGTTTTAGGAAATTACTTTGTTTTTGAAAAATAACACAAATGGATAAAGCTGGAAGAAAATATAAACACAAAAGTGGTGCTCAGAAATGCAAACACAAACAAGAAGAGATAAAAAAGTTGAAAATTTTGACTAAAACTAGCATTTTTTTAAAATCAGCAGAAGAAAAGGATACTGCTTTAGATGCAGGTACTTCCAGTACATCTGATACACAGATTGAAGAAGAAACTGATATTACTGTTTTACAATCACCATACCCATCAGATCAACCAAAAGGCCACTCAACCTCCTCCTGCAAAAATTCTTAAGATTCAATCCTCAAATACTCCAGAAGAAAGTGTTGGTAGTAGCAGTGTTTGATTGAACAAGAAACTGAAAATACTGTTATACAAACACAGATTACACAAGAATCACCTTTAAAAGTTCCCTTCTCAAATGTCCCAGAACTAAGTGTCTTCTCATTCAACAAGTTATTTTTTTTCGAAAAGCCTAAGAATATTATAAAAGAAAATTTCTGGAATTTTCATCCATATCAACCAACTAGATATACCTTACAATAGCAGAGTGGTTTACAGTCACATAGATATTCATGGTAATGATGTCAAGCACTCCTGGGTGACTTATATGAGTGAGGAAAAGAGTTTGCATTGCTCATTTTGTTTGATGTTTGCATCTGAAAGAAATCATGGTAATCAATTGATAATAGGGTGCTCAGACTGGAGAGACATCATCATAAGATTATTTGAGCACACAAAATCGCTATGTCATCAAGACTCAACCAACACAAGCTCATCTCATGCACCTCCAAGAAAGAATGGTTGATCACAGATTGTAGCATGATCAGCTGTTAGTCCGACAGAGCCAAGTGCTTCAAATACGAGCAGTCTTGAGTTGTATTATTGACATTATTTTCTTCATTTGATTTCAAACTGCATTATAGAAGCAAATATTCAGAAGCAGCAGCACATGTGTTTGGTGAATACCATTTTAAAAATAGTGGAAATTTCTTAGAAGCAGTTAAATTGGTGTCAGAATATAATCCAGCTCTGAAAGATCACCTGAAAAATATCACGCATAGGATTTGCAGTTGAAAAAGACATTGCTATCAACTTATGGAACAACAAAGATTGTATAATCGATAAAGATGCTTTCCAACTTGATAATTGGTGATGCAAGTAGTGCCTGTATTGCAGCAGTTAGCCTTTTTCGGAATACTCAATGATTTGTACAAGTTTTTTAAAGATTCACACAAAAGGATGCATTGTATGGGAGGATCAAATGAAATCTTCTAAGTTGGGACATGGTAAGCTCTGAAAGCTTCACACTATTAGTCAAACAAAGTGGTCCAGTAGAGCAGCAGCACTTAGGAAAAGTTTGGGCAGTTATGGAAATTATTCGAATGAGATGCTTTCTGATCTTCTAATAGTCTTGAAACAAGTCAGTGAATCCAGTAATTTTGGTCAGTCCATGTGATATGATGCCAGGAATCTATATGAAAACATGACCAAATTTGAAATAATTTTGATGGCTTTCATCTATATTAG